AGCTGGTGCAGGTACTCGGTGAGCCGCGTGGCTCGCACATCCGTCTCGCCCGCCTCCAGGGCCTCTAACAGCGCGTCGTGCACGAATATGTACTGGTCCTCAGTCTGCACCAGGAAGTTGCGCTGCGTGCGGATGTACTTGAGGAAGCCGAACACGTTGATGGCGCCCCGGAGCTTCATCATCTGCATCATGGCGTCGAGGACGATGTAGGTGCCCGTCCTTCCGACCCCGGCACTGGTGGCACAAATGAGGCTGTGTTAAACCTCAGCTGCAAGCAGCATGTCACTGGATTCTGGTGTCTTCGGTAATGACGCCAGAAATTAAAGTTCTTGGGCACCAAGGGACAGCGGTTTGTGATGGACAGAGCTGTGGGCTCTGCAAGAACGGATATTGGTAACGGCACCCAAAGCTGACCCTCTGCATGGAAAGAAACTTCTGGCGACAACAAAGTAGTGTTAAAAGTCACCATAAATAAGTGACGCTGTTCCGACTACCGCGGGAATGTACGGTTCAAACTAAGATCTACGATTAAACCGGAAGGCCTGCAGCGATCAGCGGTCTAGACACGTTCGTACCATCGGCGGGTTCAGACCCCACCTGCGCTCGTGCGTGCAGTGGAGCAGCAGTCTCGCTCGTGGCCGGAGTCCAGGCCCACGCGTACCTGCAGTGGACCAGAATGGGTCCTGCGCCGGAGTCTAGGCCCATACGTACCTGCAGTGGACCAGAATGGGTCCCGCGCCGGCGCCGTTCGCAGCGGCCGATTTTCTGACGAAGCTGAGGATCGGAAGCGGGTGGTCTGGTACGCCGTGGTCCGGCCAGCTGGTGTAGTGGTACTGGTATATGATCCTTTCACTGCACACGCCCTTCTTCTTCTTGTGCTGTGGCAGACCGTAGATGTATTGACGGATGCGGAATCACAACGTACGAGAGTGACAAACTCTGCCTTTATGACGAGTGGCGGACGAGGACGGGGGCGGGAGACGGAAGACGGAGGACGAAGTATGCTTGATGATGGTGGAGTCTGTCATCCACCTAAAACGAGTTAAGAGGCATAGCGATTGTGTGAGGAGCTTATGATTAGGGGAAGAGCTGAAGAAAACAGCATTATGCTATGCAGTACTTTTTCTACTTGGCCCGCCCGGAACACACATAGTGTACCAGCCGGGATGATTCAGAGACGCTGCATCAACGCGTTCTACGACTCTACAGATAAAGAGCAATACACCAATCCCTTGTATGTTTGATGAGCATTTTTTCTTATCGTATAGGTCGACAGCTCCTTCTGGTCCAAAAGCTCCACTTGTATAAACTCCAACACTTGAGTGCCCTCCTTCGGCCAGTACATGTCACACTTTTTCTGCAACAAACCCATGTCGTTAGTGCGGAACGATAGGTGAATAGGCCGACATGACCCACTACATCGACGGCTTCACGTGCCTCATCACGTGCCCGACAAATCACAGTTTATTGCATTGCACAGTGCACTTGACGAGGAGAAAATACGCAACCTACACGCAGAGCTGCCTGCATCAGCAATGCAGGCATGCACATAACGACATCTTCTCTGTAATGGCTGGTAGAGTTTCCGACGACACAAAGCCAGACTGACATGTATTCAGACACCAGCCCACCACCCACCAGCCTAGCGACAGGGACTGAGCCCGTAGCCAGTCCAGGAACCTACTGACCCTGTTCCGCTCCACGAGGTTAGTGATCATGACCACGATCTGGATGCGTTGCTCCCAGATGAGCCGCCAGAAGGCCGCAAAAGTGCCGGTCAGCGGGCCCTGGGCGCCGATGTACTGGTTGCGCACGAGAAAGCCGTCGATGTAGTTGGCGTTGATGTAGTCTCCCCGCCGCTGGCCCGGAAGGGGCCTCAGGGGCACCAGGGTGTGGTCGTCTGTGGGATCGGGCGCGGGCGTCTTAGCATGCAATACAAATATTGTTCCGTACCAGGAGTAAGCCCCGAAAACAACAACCGACAAACTCGTGCATGTCATAACTTAAACCCAGGAAACTCACATGCCCAATTGTACACAATATTTATTTCGTTGGAAGCTGTGGTGAGAAGCAAATGTGAAATCGGGAATTAATAATCAATCACCAATTACAGCGCGCGGAAAATGCACACGAAGTGCGTGGAGCGTTTATGTTTGTAGCACTTACAGGCATCAATGTTCTGGTATCTATTTTCTGCTTGTTTTCCTCGGTCTGTGACACGTTCGAAGAGAGTTCCAACTTCATTGTGTGCGCCAGCACCTCATCATACTCTTTGCAGAATCCTGGCAACAAGTGGCAACAAAGTGTACAGTCAGGACCATGACAAAGCTCCTGGTTTCTACACTCCAGTGTGGAAATCTATATTAATCACATGATGGTGTATGTATGCGCCATTATGAGTAAATGGCACGGCCCGCATGAAACTATTTATAAAAATGTCAATCGAAATGCCTGACAAAACGCTATATGTATCACCGCAAGGCGACGACGTCAACACGTGGATTCCCTTTCTAATGAATATTATTATTAATCTACCGTGATTTGTTTTCCTCCGTCACTAAACAATGTGCCGAGTACATCTGACCGCAACCGATCGCTCTTCCCCGCTTACCGATGTCCGAATCGGCGTGTAGGCTGGCCACGTGCACCGGGAAGGCATCGGCAGGGATCGGGCCGGCCGAGCCGTTCGGACCGTCCAGCTCCCAGCCCGGGTCAGAGGTCACGGGCGCGCGCGCCGTCACCGGCTCATCCAGGCTGTAGTAGTAGGACGACTGGAAGTACCGCCTGCCGCACGCGGACACCGTTGATGCTGTGACGCCTCAGTGTGGCTTGGGGTGGAGTATGAGGGGCGCTTAGTTCAAAAGCAAAAAAACCACGATGGTCTTGCCGATGAGTTCAGGGCCCGAACTTAAAAGCAAAGTAGAGTGATCGTGTGATCAAGGTATGAACGAACCGCCTGGGAATCCCTGTAGAGTCTTCTTCACTCCACTCCTACTTAATGCATCTTTTGCACGTAGAAGATTACACAGCGGTCAAAAATAGCACGGATGAAACAGCCGTATTCATCTGCCCTTTCTTCTGTAGCAAATCCCTGCCTGAATATCAAATGCACAGAAAAGTTTGATACAATTCATGCGAATGCACCAAGCACCCACACAGAGGACTGCTGCAGTCTATCAACGTGCAGCAGACGTGACAAACACCAGCAGCCAGACACCAGGAGTGACCGCGCCTCCAGATGGCCATACACCAGCAGTGACCTCACCTCCAGGTGGCCAGGGCCAGCAGTGACCTCACCTCCAGATGGCCAGGGCCAGCAGCGCCAGCAGGAAAGCGCAGCTGGCGCACACGATGCCGGCCACGACGCCGGCGTCCAGGGGTGCGGCGCCGCCCAGGTGGCGCCACACGTCCGTGGCGGCGCCACCGGCGCGGCCGCAGTGGCGCCGCACCCGGCCGGTGCGTGGCGCCGAGTACGGCGAGCGCAGCAACACGGCCGGCCGGTGTAGGGAGCGGGTGGCCGCACGCACGCGCACCTCATACACCGCGCCAGCGGTCAGGTTCGGCAGAAGGAACTGGCCGAGAGAGAGAGCGGACAAAGACGGTGAGGGAGCTTGGACGGCACCTGAATCAAGGGCGACGTTGGTCCAGAGACGTGGTGAGAAACCGGATGTGATACATTGAGACAACTAAAGCACGCTGCCGGAACAACTCACTGACTGTGCCGCCGCAATCCCAATATACACCACGCCCCGTTGAGTCCCAACCAGACCTAGCACGTTCGCCCCATGACCATCCAGACCCATCATAAAGACAATCCCTGTGAATTAAGACCCACTGCGTGGCTCACCATGCTTTCCTGCTCTGCCGAGTCGGCGGTGACCTGCAGCTCCGTGAGCGCCGCCGCCTGGCCGGTCCGGTAGCCGACCACGTAGAAGTCGATGCGGCCCCGGACGCGGCCCGGCGGTCGCCAGGCGAGCAGCAGGGCCGCGTCCGGCTGACATGCCAGCGAGGTCAGCCGCGGTGCGGCCGGCGCCGACACGTCGGTGGTGACGGCCAGCGCCGCCGACTCGCGGCCCTCCACGCTCCGCGTGAACGCCTTCACCGCGATCGAGTAGTTGGAGAAGGGCTCTGCAGGCCGAGGGTGGCGATGAGCCTGGCGGTTCAGTCTCGGATGCCATGCTCGGATTTTCTCAGCTCCAGCCGTCCTAACTGCACATCGGGCTCCGGAGGGACCCACAGGCTAAGGTCACCTGTTCGACCGAGTTTTCTCCAGAGGCCAACTCGTAGAGTAGGAAAGACTGCCATAATTTGAACGTACCTTTCTCAGGCTTTGTGTTGTGAAGTCATGCATATGTTTAGTAAATGCGGCACCGCGATCAGTGAGTGGTGAGGGCATCGGGTTCCGTGTTGAGCGTATCGGGCTCCGAGTGGCTAGAGTATCGGACTCCGAGTGGTGAGAGTATCGGGCTCCGTGTAGTGAGGGTATCAGGCTCTGAGTGGTGGGGGTGTCGGGCTCCGAGTAGTGAGGGTATCGGGCTCTGAGTGGTGAGGGTATCGGGCTCTGAGTGGTGGGGGTGTCGGGCTCTGAGTGGTGGGGGTGTCGGGTCCGAGTAGTGAGGGTATCGGGCTCTGAGTGGCTAGAGTATCGGACTCCAAGTGGTGAGGGTGTGGGGCTCCGAGTGGTGGGAGCATCGGGCTGCGAGGGGTGAGAATCATCGGGCTCCGAGGGGTGAGGGTATGGGGCTCCGAATGGCGAGAACATCGGGCTCCGAGTGGTGAGGGTATGGGGCTCCGAATGGTGAGAACATCGGGCTCCGAGTGGTGAGGGTATGGGGCTCCGAATGGTGAGAGCATCGGGCTCCGAGTGGCGAGGGTATGGGGCTCCGAATGGTGAGAGCATCGGGCTCCGAGTGGTGAGGGTATGGGGCTCCGAATGGTGAGAGCATCGGGCTCCGAGTGGCGAGGGTATGGGGCTCCGAATGGTGAGAGCATCGGGCTCCGAGTGGTGAGTGTATCCCGTATGACAAGCGTGGTCCCAGTCCTCTGCACTTCTGAACGAAGCATTTCGTGTACTGCAAGCCTGGGAGTGAGGACAATTCTCGCAAAGTCAAGCGAGACATGGAACATCGCCCTCGTGCATCTGAACGGTGGCTGGATTCCAGCCGCGCTAATTTCTAAGCGGCATGTCGAGCCCCTCAGGCTCATCTTCCGAGACTGGTCATTGCACAAGCCGCTGTCGCCGGCAACATAATTAGTTATCGTAATATGTCGAAACTACTTTCATGACGGTAGCGTACACTTTATGTACTGGATATGAATAATGGAACGACGGGGATCGGAATGGGAAACACCCATCCAATTCTGTCCCAAGTTATCCAGATAAAGCAGTTCGAACATCAAAATAGACAGGCGACGTTCCGTCCCATTTCAGAGAGATATATTGACCGAGATCGTATGACATCAGCTTGTCACTGCCGCATGAAGTAGCTCTATAGCTGGACAGATGATGGTGAATTACGGGAGTGATGTCGGCCAATTCAACGTGACATTACGGGAACGCGAATGTCGACAACCACCACCACTCCTTGATCAAACCTGCGACCTGGAAATGAGTAAAGCATCATGCAAAGGTTTCAGTCTTGTTCGTAATACTTAATGAAGCGAAAAATAGGCTGCTAATTGTAACGAGGGGGACAACACACATTGAAATCACGTTAACACTGGTACTTACGCAAAACCTCTGACCACCGCAGTCTACCAACTGACCTAGATTCTTCAGCGTGTACTGCATGTCATCCACGGGCAGCTTGAGCCAAGTGGCATTGGTGAAGTTGCCGGTAGTGAAGTAGATACGGTAAACCCTCGATCAGGCCGTTGGGGGCGATTCGGAGCCAGCCACGAGATGGTGACCGTGGTATCTGTCCACGTTCACGACAGACACTTGCCGTGGCGCTTCGGGAACTGAAACAGCGAGCGGCGCAGATGCCGGTCAGGAGGCAGGACTGGCGGAGTAACCCACACAGCGAGCGGCGCAGATGCCGGCCAGGGGGCAAGACTAGCGGAGTAACCCACACAGCGAGCGGCGCAGATGCCGGTCAGGAGGCAGGACTGGCGGAGTAACCCAAACAGCGATCGGCGCAGATGCCCGTCAAGAGGCAGGACTGGCGGAGTAACCCAAACAGCGAACGGTATCAGCACAAGATCAAGTGTTTATACATCAATCATTAACCCTTGGTTACAACGTGCAGACAACAGTCTTATCATAATGCACATACCCAGTTTTAACCAAAAAGAATGGGAAAAGAGAGACTGACAGCTCTTACCTCCTTCGTCCGTGGTGACCACGACCGTGGAGCTGGGACCCAGGCCAGCCGGGTTCTCCACTTGTATCGAGATGATGTACTGCGTGTACGGACGGAGCCCGGAGATGGTGTGGCTCTGAAGATGGAGACAATATGTTCATACGCGTCGTGCGTGGTGGCCATCCTTAAGTCAGGCGACATTTCGTTTGCACGCCTACACTGCTGTGGGCGAACACACACACACACCTTCCGGCAGAGGGACCGCTACACTGCTGTGAGCGAACACATACACCTTCAGGCAGAGGGACCGCTACACTGCTGTGAGCGAACACATGCACCTTCCGGCAGAGGGACCGCTACACTGCTGTGAGCGAACACACACAACTTCCGGCAGAGGGATCGATATGACCGGGAGGAAAACTTCACATTGTGCTGTAGTTTCCACTCTTACACATGAACTTCTAGCTTCCCATTACGAGCAGGAGATGCACAAATAATCAATTTCGACCGAATATCGTGACCACCCCAAGTATCCATGTTTTAAAACATGCAGCGCGTGGTGTGGGGGATGGAGCAAAAGCATCTCATTCTGTCCACGGGAATCTGTCCCAACAAAAGAATCCCATACGTACTAGGTAGGTACATCAAATTGTGAAAATCTGACTAACGATTAATTAAGACTTTCGTGGGTAAAGCTGTTCGAAGTTAGGTTAGGCCATTGCCTTGTTGAAACCTGCAGGACAATATCTGCCTCCTCTCGCAGTAATTCGCAGTTTTCTTCCTTGTTTTTGGCCGCTTTGCTTGTAATTCGTCGAAAGGTTTGACTGCCTGCCATTCCGTGTCAGTTATACCATACAAGGCCACGCTCCAGGTTAATCCACGATAGCGTGGGATCAGCTTGCAGGTGTTGAGCCAGCGCGCTTTGATACACTCAGAATAAGAATGTCAGTAGCCGTGAGCGTAGCAGTCAGATGGACACACGAAATACTTCCTTTTGAAACGTCGACGGGAAGGGCGGACAAATAAGACTCGATGAGGTGATTTGGCCTCGACATGACATGGTTTTTCCATAACATTGCCCTGACCCGGCATCCGTAATCTTTGTTGACAAGAATATATGATTCTAAAGCACATTTATACACCCTTTCGTTTGGTGCGCTGTAAACAAAACCTGTGCGTATAATGTTTCGGGTGTTTAATAGTCCTGAAGTTGTTCAATGTTCTGGATTATTTCGAAGGTAGTTTGTTCGATCTGAGGCTTTATTAATCACGCAAAATATGCCAGCTCAATGGCGCTAGGTGAGATTTATCGAGGCCATCGTTTGCCGTTCGCATTTGTTCTGATCCGAGAACCAGATTGTGAGCTACTTTTAACTCCCAACGTCGGTGCCGGCGGGAGAACGCTACGGAAGGTACCGGGTTCATATACGTATATTTATATATATATATATATATATATATATATATATATATATATATATGTGTGTGTGTACAAATATATATATGTGTGTGTGTGTACAAATATATATATATATATATAATATATATATATATATATATATATATAGGCTTCATATAGGGTATATAGGTATCACTTATTGCCAAAACCGTATTCTCAAAGGCCAAGTTCATCATGTTATTGTGGTAATACACGCGTAATCACATATCTGTGAATGAGCGAGAAGTTTAGTACGACACAACACATCGACAGCAGACAACCACACTAGCGCAAAGATTCACTCGTTGGGCAGGTTTTGTAATAACATGGGACATTTACGCACTTTGCAAGCAGTAAGGTGTTCTTCGAAGGGTGCGTTCGGAGTAAGTTCAGAAATCCAAAGCGGACATCTAGGATCGAAGAAACTTTGCCGCCTGGGGATATGGTTGGTTTGACCAGGATTACAGACCTTATGGCCAGTAGCAACCATTTCAAGCCTATGGGATAAAGGCGAGTGGAAACTAGTGGGGTAAAAATGTGTGGGCCTGGGGGTCCGTCCTCTACCCAGACTTGATTTAGGTTTAGATGTTTCGGATTAAAGCCCTTTCCGCCAACCATGACCATTTTGGGGCGATGAGATGGAGATAAATGGATAAAGGTGCGGGAAGACTGCATGCTGCTGGCGACACATCCGCCGAGGCTTTGCCTGTACAGGGACTGCATGCAGGGTGTGCGCTCGACGCTCGGACGGGGTACTCACAAGGGGAACATTGGCTCGCTCATGGCGCGCGTGTGCAGCCTGCCCGCGACAAGTGAGGAGTTGCGAGGTAACAGGATAGAGCAAAACATAGGATGGAAGGGCGGATGCCGAAACTCGGCCGGCACAGGGAACCCTATACGGGGCGTGTGCTCGGCGCTAGAACGGGCTCGGCGCTGGGCTCGGTGTACTGATCCCACCTGAACGCGTCCGCCTGAACCACACCTGAACACGTCCACCTGAACTCCACCTGAACGCGTCCGCCTGAACTCCACCTGAACACGCCCACCTGAACCCCACCTGAACACGTTCATCCTTGATCCGAAGCTCTCGAATCCGGCTGCTGACGTTGCTCCGCTCCCGGTAAGTGATCCTGTAGAACTGAAACTCTCCACGCAGCTCCTCCTTGGACAGCGGCCTCCAGCGGACCCGGACCGAAGTGGAGCTTGTATTATGCGCCGCCAGGATCGCCGGCTTCCCGGCTGGGGCTGTGGAAGAGCGTGACGGAAGTTCAACAGACCACGCTGGCCTGGTTGGCCGCCCCACCGCCGGGAGATTGCAGGAAAATGTCACGGAGGCGGTACGGGTCAAAGCCATTGCTGTAATGTACCAGGGGGACCATGGCGAGTCCGTGTGTCTGGAGAAGCCACGCTTCAAATGATGTGGGCAGCCAAGATTATCGTTTAACGTCCAAAGATGGGGAGGCATAGGATACAAGTTGGAGCAGCACCTTTAGTAACAGGTCTAGGAGAAAAAATAGAGGAACGGCATATGTCATTACTCAAAGCGTGCAGGTCCAATTAGGTAACATGTGCCGAATATGGCACCACAAATTTTGTGAAAACATGGCAGGTGGATTAAAATATGAGAAATTAGTTACACACAGCTATGGCTTGGGCAACAAACATTTTTACACACAGCCCCAAAGTACTCCCCAATACATATAATACGAACAAAACATGAACACCAGGCAATTGTGCTAAAACACACGATTCAGTGGTTAATTAGGTCTAAAATTAAAATAGTGCATTTCGCACATTTCAAGCGATACGTTGTTTTTCATAACTGGGGCAACATGGCGTAATATAGCATGAACATAAGCCATATGGTGTTCAGAAGCTGTTGGTAAGTTACAGATTGGCGCTAAGCCTGCCGAGGTACGGACAATCATCTGTAAACGGCTACGTGTCATCCGACGCCGACCGTTGAACTCTTACAAACTGTTTCTAAACAAAGGCAGCACGGTCCCTGCCCAGCGACAGAAGAATGCGGTGCACACGCCGGCCTGGGTCTCGGGTTTACAAACGTCGTCTGAGGATTGATGTGTTGCTTGTCGTTGTTGTCAGTCCATCACATTAGCGGAAAATGGATGAAGATTCACCGGCAGGCTAGGAATTTTGAGGGCGCCTCGCTTTTTACATGACTAATGCATTGCACATCAGCAAGTTGCATAACTTAGAGTCACGCATCATTTGCAGGATAACATGAGCGCTCATCCATCGAAGCTCGCTTAATGTGCCGTTGAAAATAATTTCGTAACAGCTTGTCACCACCAATGACTGATGAGCGCATGAATATTGTATGTTATATATGCAACAGCCCAATCTTCATAAAAGAACGCTCGAGTCCTCCGATTTCAAGCTTACCATTAGCATGCGATGCGTAGAGGCAAAGGACGAGGGGGGGGGGGGGCGTGCCAGTACGGTGCCACAGTCTACAAAACTGGTATCTCAGTGATTATGTGACAATTGATCCCTGTATGGAGAATGTGGCACGTCCAGAACCAGACTGGTGTGGGAAGAAACGACATTGTTGGTTTCATTTCGGAGCTGCGTATGACGCGCTGCGAGCTGTCTGATTTCCTTTCTGAGAGCAGTGCTTTGTCATAGTATATCTACCTCTCATCTGCTGCGATATGCTCTCTTTCTTCCCTGAAAAGTTTTGCAGCCCGGTGCAGGCTGCCTATTCACTACATTGCAGAATAGTTTCGCGTTGCATATCACACAGCTTTTGCCAACTGACCACTGCAGCCAACATGTGACCAAAATTACATCAACATTTCTGAGAATGTACAGAACTTGCCCGAGGGTATTGGTCTCCTAGCTAGTCAAAGAAGAATCATATGGATGGAGCCAAACCCAGTACTCCTATGCCACATTAGTGGTGGGCAATGTTTGTCATGAAAATGAGTTGCCAAGGGTTCTTGCAACAACATTATTAACTGAAAATAAAACGCACCAAATGTAAACGGTAGCTAAAAATTTAGCTGTGAGGACAATCGTACTTGACCATGGATGCGATGATTCCAAGTATCGGCATGGACATAAAACGGTTGCATTGTGTTGTTTAGGATGCGTACATAGGTTTGAGAACAGGCTCGGTTCAAGTCGAATCCATTGGCGCGATCAAAGAGAATACCGCTTAAATTGTTACGTTGTGACAATAGCGTGTTCCACCAACAATATGATTGGCGTAAGAGTCTAACGCATGCAAGCAACCAAATGTTTTCCCCTTTCGTTAAAGCCTTCTCCCCCCCAAGGCTAGAAATTTCTTAAATTACATTCATTTCTTAATCTGCCCCGTTATTAACTATCATCTGCTCTCTTATTTGACCATGTTGACCTTTCGCCACTGGTGAAAGCGTCCCTGATCTGTGGCCGCCCATGCGAACAAAGCGTGATGGAAAAAAACGCGCGCTAGCATGATAGCGCTTCAGAGCAGGAGACATGCAATACCAAACGTTTGCAGCAGCACTGTAATCGCGCTGACACGTTTGTCAAACATGGATTGTATCTGACTCACGGAGGCGTTTAGATCACGTGTGCGGTTCACATGTACGAAGTCAGTTCATTGCAAGTGATCGTCCAGCACGTGTCGTAAATCGTAAAGCAACTACCCGATTTGCCTCGCCCTCCACATACGCCAAAGACGTGGTCATTGTCAGAGAATATTACACAGAACAGCTGCGGCAAAAATCTGGGGCAGGTAACGTGCCCCACATGGTAAGTGCGATGTCTGCAGCAATACGCTGACCTCGTTGGCGAAAAACCTCAGGAGATACTGCCCGCAAATGTTCCAGCGTTCTTCATTCTTCATCTTTCCTGACCGTGGCATTGGGAAGGGAGGTATATATATATATATATATATATATATATATATATATATACACCTCCCTTCCCATGTGCCATATATATATATATATATATATATGTATATATATACCGCTATATTCCGCCATTACAGAAACCATCGTCAATCACACCATTGTTCCTCTCAGCGTTGGATACGATAGTTAGTCTACACTATTTCCGCCTCTGATAATCTGCTCCCCGCCGTCCACAATCTCACCTTCTCTCAGTCTTGTATGAGGCTGTCGGAACTAACCATCTCGTCCTCACACACTCCGTCGCTCTCCATCACCTCACCTTCTCTCAGCGTGATGATGGGGTAGGAGGCGATGCCGTCTGGCGAGGCGCCGATGCCGTTGACGGCCGTCACCCTGAAGCTGTAGGCGGTGAACGGCTGCAGGTCGGCCACCACGAACGATGTCTGGTTATCTGGCGTGGAGATGGGCTGCTGGCTCCACTCGCCATGTTCGCCAGTTCTGCAGCAGCACGAACATACCCTCCTTACTGTTTGCATTCAGCAGACACACAGCGGTGTATTAAAGGGGGTCGTAGTACACACTCGCTTTCCGCATGAAGGCACGTATGTGGATTTGACGCGCTTGCGTGATTTCACAGCATGCTAGGTTAAAAAGAGGGAGTGTGTCTAATGTTTTCGATTTTCTCATTACACGTTTAAGGAGATTTGGCAATCATCTAATCATCATCAATTTTGGTTGCTAAATGTGCATTTCGGTCTTGCAACAGCTTTTTGCTTATTCATTGTTATCGATCCCATCAGTGGCTGTGCTCAAACAAATACAATCCTAAAAGATAAACCAATCAGCGGGCAGGAAAGGACGAATGTACTGGCTTATATGTGGCGAGTAACTGAGCGCTAGAAAAATGGTCATTATTTTGGTTGCTAAGCAACGTCGAATCACATTTCTCTAGAGCCTGGTGCAGCCGATTGACACGACACAATACTTGTTCCTCGTCTCAGTATAAAGTAGGCCGACATGAATTGGTGCGTTCCAACTGACTAGCCTTACCATACGTCTAAGCCCGTACACTCGTAGCCCTCAACTGGATGCAAACAAAAAACAAAAAACATCGGCGTAATGGCCGCCACCACCGCCGCGTTTGCAAGCTGCTGTCAGCGCTGGCAAGCGACATCTCCGAAAAAAAAACATTGGGTAGAGCTAACGATATCTTCCCAATGATGTCGATGTGTTTGTGTTTAGTAGTGAATATTGCTTGGGGCTACCCAATAACTTCTTTCTTCCATGCGAACCAAATAAAATTTGGGAGTTTTAGCAATCTCGCCAGTGGGGGCGAATTTGAATCAATGACACCAAATGTTATAAATCGAAATTCCCTTCCATCTTTCGCGCACAGTCAAAAATCCTAACTTGCCTAGGCACACTCCATTTGATCAAGTGACACATTTGATCGTTCGATGGCCCATCTTTACCAAGTCCTGCATACGCTCAGTGCATGCAAGAGTCTTCTCTTATTCATTAGCTTCCCTACACGTTTAGGGGGGGGGGGGGGGGAGTAGCTGGAGGAATGGGCCATGGATTCGCGTGTCGGTGGCTGTGTTATCCTGGGGAGAAACTGAAGTGAGCGGGTCATGAATCTGTTCGAGAGGTCCATTCGCCGTCGAATCGCGCCATCCGTTGGGCTCGATGCTGCGTCATTATCGTTACCAAGCTGTAATGGCCGAGAAAACAGATAGGACGTCATTGCTCCCCTCCATCGGAAACCACAGACCATTGGTGGCAGCGCAACAAGAGTAGCCATGGGGCGATGTCGTTGAACCTAACTCATATTAGAGCCTCGCTTATTATCGGATGATTTATTCATCGAGCAAAGGCTGTTAAATCTAAATATCGCTATCCATAGCACTCAATGTTAAGCCCGAAAAAGAACGTACTCCCCGTGGTATGAGGCAATACGGTTATGCATTATATGCATTTAGATGCCCAGGTGCAACGTACACGAGTGCCATAAACGAGAGGGTTGAATAATACTCATCACTTTCTACATGAAAAACATGCAAAATAAACAACACAATCGCGCATGAAAATATGCAGATCCGCATGCTTCTGAAACCCTCCGCGCACGCACATCAAATACGCCAGCCTACGCACCTTTGCCACACGAGCCCTAATGCTGCAGCAAGCTTCGGCGGCGCCGCGGTTAAGCGAAATGCGCGTGCGCGTGTTTAATGTCACGTGTCAAAACACGAGCGGCAGGCATAAGCCGAGTACCTGATGTAAGCTTCTTGACTCAGGGGGAGGGGGGGGGGGGGGGTGTCACGGCCCCCTTGGTCTTTTCCCTGGACACGCTCCGGCAGCTAGGGACGCGCTCCGTGCGTTCACCACGTTCAGCGTGGCCAGTCGCCGTGCCAACGTGGCCGTCGCCGTACCAACGTGGCAAGTCGCCGTACCAACGTGGCCAGTCGCCGTACCAACATGGCCAGTCGCCGTACCAACGTGGCCAGTCGCCGTACCAACGTGGCCAGTCGCCCGTACCAACGTCGCCAGCCGCGATACCAACGCTTCCTGGTCCGCCCTTACATTGGAGCTCCGCTTTTTTTCTCTCGACCCCGCCGCCCGCCGTACAGCTTCGCTGATCTATCGCACGATGATGTGGACGGAGGCTACGTCAGACGTAATCCATCGCGAGCCCCGCCGACCGCGACGGAAGTGGGTCGTCTGCCGTCGCCCGACCCGCGCCGCGCAGCTCGAGCGCCGACGTCGACGCCGACGCCGACTCTCCGCCGGCGTCGGTGGCGACGCAGGGGGCCGTCCGCGGCCGGGATCCGGCCACCCGGCGGCAAATCTCCGCAGAGCTATAGAGAAGTTTGTCCAAGTTGGCTGTCTTGGAAATCAACACTTGCTGCTCGCTCGAAGTGGAGCACGGAGAGAGGCGATATGAACAAATTTACGGGCTGAGGCCTCTTCGGACCGGTCCCTAAACTAAGACAGGGCCGCTTCAGAGTGAATAGCTCGCCCAGCGCACGCTTAATGAGTGCAGCGGATTACACTCGTCCAGATCCAAGAGAGTCATCTTGAGCAGGGACATCACAGCCCAGAAGACACAGCGTTGGGAGTGTTAACCGACCCCAACTACGATTCCCGCGGGAAAGCTGGTGACGAGGGACGTCGTTGGAAATCCCGTATGAAGTTCTCGGCAACTATAAGAAACCAGGCGTGTACCCGTATGACCTGACATGACATGCTACATGCGACACCTGTTGATAATCACCAGTGCCTACATAAGTTTTCCCAAGAGGTGTGCAATCCTGTCTTCTGCTTTGTTGGCATGCTTAGTTTCTAAAAAACAGGCAGGAGAGATTTTTAAGTGCTAATTTTACCCATTGGATGTCATTTGCATCATGAAAGGTACGCCCGCTTTTCCCTCACATGCTTTCGCAGTACAATTACATTCACTTCGCCATCGCAGAGCGAAGGTGGAACCTCGCACAGGGGGAGGGTTACACACACCAGAGGACTTTGTTCAAATAGAAATGTCGACATATCGTGACGGAATGACTTCAGAGGATATCAAGCTACGAAACATAGCGAAACACACCGGTTTTTTAAATATGATTTGGATGAGCAATGGAACTCTTTCGGCTGAAATAAGTGTTTAGACTTTCGTTTTCGTCCGGTATTGTGGAATGTGCATGAGTCGTTCTCAGCACGGATGGGACCAGCCAGGGATGAAGTAAGCATCATCGGCAGCGAGCAACACTGGAAAGCTAGAAAGGTCGGGGAGTAGCACACTACTAACTGGCCTTGTGTAGATGTTAACACACGGACGAGGATGACAGATGATAGTCAAAGTATCTCGTCCGCAGTACTTATGTCTTGCCTCAGCCATTCCGTAAAACTGTTATATTTTAGGCAGACAATTCGTCATGAAGAGAGGTCAGTGCAATCTTACGTGACGGATATAATTCTAAGCCACATATCCAAAAGGTCAATGCGCAGTAACCACCCCCGTATTTTAACAACCTACTGAATACCAACACAGCTTCCACTATGGAAAGGTGTGTGGTAATAATAGTACTAAGCTTCCATGATCGTGACATTCCATTGCAACCGAAAAGTCCCCGGTCACGGTTCTATTTATCCAAACCCAACATCTATTTCAGGCGCAGATGAAATCGTCATCAAATACCTAGCATATGAATATAGTCTCTCACACGAACACACGTGCGATGTGCCAACAAACCTTTGCAATGCACGGATCAGAAACTAGGAACATAATAGGGAGCAGGCAAGCAAGAAGAAACACAGAAAAAGTCATATCGATGCAGTTGCCTCGGTGAGCGCGCAGCGATAAACTTTGCTACAGCGCCAGCAATCACTGCAAAACAACATTACGCTGCCGTAGTGTTGGTTTCGGTCCCGGATGGTGATCTGGGCCCCGTGTTTGTGGCGCGAAACGGCCTCCGCTGGGTCGAACTGTTTCCAGCCCCGCGCACCGGCCGGGGTAAATTACCCCATTATCTTCGAAACCCGATTAGGGCGATTGCCGTCGCTGTTAACGAGAGGGCCTGGGACGCGCAGTACGCTGCGGCGTAATGGTACACAAGCAATGGAAACAAAGGCCCATTATTTTTTCCATTTCATTAATGCTGGCACTCGGTGGAATGCCACTGCAGTGCAATATTTTAGGTGTATGGATATTACATTGCTGCATAAGTCCAGCATCATCTGCGATATTTCGTCCAACGCATCCACCTAGTTTCAAAGCATTACTTGTCTACGATCCATTGCAAACTCCCTTTACGGCCACCCAAAAAAGAACTTCTTTGCGCTCTATGCCGGTCGCCGTCCATTAGCCACACAACGCTCCGCCGGCCATCCGGCAGGGTGGCGTCACTTTCGGGCGGCCGCCCGGTGTCTGCCCCGGGTGACGTCACTATAAGGCGCCCGCCCGGGTTGGTAATGTAAAGCTGCTCGAATTACCTCCATTCAAGCCCGGGCGTGTGGCAACCATGCCATTCAGACCCTATTATTATCTTTTCTGCTGGAACCTAGAAAAACGCATACCAGCTGTACTGTGATTCGATGTTACCAATTTAAAGTTATCTTTAATGCCCAATCAGATAGCGCCTGTATTGAACAGTTCCCGGGATTGCTACGCGATCCCACCGTTTGTGACTAGTTCACACCATAATAGTCCGCCCATCGCGCGATGTCGTATACGTTTCTCATTGGTTAATAATAAAGTTATATCATTTCATTTCCTTCCTTTCCTTCTTTCATTTCTATCACATCATTTCCGTAGCGCGTGATCATTACCGCTCCGTTCGAAAGCGGCATATAAGGCGGGACGTTTGTAATCGTGTATGTTCATAGATTTATTCGACTTGAAGTCGCAAGATTGCTACAGGCTGTGCACACTAGTGTGGGGTGGGTGTT